AATAATGAATATTAATATTAATATTAATAATGAATATTAATATTAATATTAATAATGAATATTAATATTAATATTAATAATGAATATTAATATTAATATTAACAATTTAAAGAAATTTATAATTAATCTTGAAGAATACCTTTTATATCCCTATGTATTTTTCCTTCAACATGTAAGTACTCTAAACCACGTAAAAGTTCACGAAGAACAATAGCAATATGTTGTTCATCAAATGGACCTGGTTTAAGCTGTAAAGAATTACTAATAAATAAAAGACATTTAAATAAAAATTTAAGTACCATATAATGCAGTTACACTCACTAGGTCTAAACATGATCCACCGGCGAGGTATTCCATAACTGATAGAAAAAAAAGATATAAATAACGCGCACTAAAATAAACCATATAATTGAACCTCAGATATATTAAAAGAAACACTATACCAATCCACAATTTGAACCCTTTGACAAACGAGCCATAATAACGGGTGATATATTGTGAGTCGCATTGTGATAACACCGCGATTTCTTGCTGTATCTCACTAATATCATCGTCAGAATCTTCTAAATCAATTTGTTTGATGGCAACCACTTTCTTGGTGTCATTATTTATGCTAAATAAAAAGATATTTGGGGGAATAAACCACAAAAATTTAAAAGCACGAAAAAAAGGCGCATATAGCATAAATACTAATAGTACATGCGCGATATGCGGAAAACGGTTTATATAATACGTACGACTTATAAACAGTTCCAAAAGATCCTGTACCAAGTTTTTCAAGTAAAGTATATTCTTCGTCTGGATCGCGTCTAGACTATATGCATTCAAAGTTGTAGAACTTAATATGGTTATATGCTTATGCAGTAATTCGAAAGTTTCTTACCATTTGAAATTAAGACTCGTTTGTCAGGTTCGTGGACGGTAATATTAAAAATAACTAAAAGTACAATTGAAAAGGCACGAAGTGAGACCAAAAGAAAAAAAAAAATTAAGGTTTTTTGACTTAGCAGTTGTACTGCTAAAGGATATGCTCAATTGAACCATATAAATTTACAAGGCAAAATAGATATAATCATTCATTAATAGTCATTAATTACCAGAAAAATAATTTTTTTTGAACCCTTATATTCAGGAGAAATGAAGGGATTTTCCACTTCAATAAAAATTATTTACATAGAAGAACGGTAATCGGAAAAAAGTATTCTTAATTC